TAGGTTAATTTTTTTAATTAGTGTCATTAAGTCAATTTCCTAATCTTAATACTCTAAGACTTTATTTCCTTAGGTGTTGAGACTTTCTATAGCTTTCTTCTTCACTTTCACTTTTCTTTCTGACTTTTATCAGCTTCCCACTCTCTTAAACTTAGTCCTTTCTCTTGTTTTATCCTCGTAAGACTTTTCCCGGCTTTCCTCGCCTCCTTAAACTCTCTTTCTTTCTTTCGCTTCATCTTGAATTCGACTTTCACTTCACTTTTTCTCTTTAACTTTCCTTACACAACTTTCTCTTCAACTTTCCCTTCACATTTCCCTTCAACTTTCCCTTTAATATCCCTTAACTTTCCCTTCAACTTTTCATAAACTTTCCCTCCAACTTTCCCTTCAACTTTCCCATTAATTTCCCTTAACTTTCCTTTAACTTTCCTTCCAACTTTCCTTCTAACTTTCCTTTAACTTTCCCTCCAACTTTCCCTCCAACTTTCCCTCCAACTTTCCCTCCAACTTTCCTTCTAACTTTCCCTTCAACTTTCCCTTCAACTTTCCCTCCAACTCTCCCTTACCATCTCTCATCATTACCTCCCGCCAAGAGTCATTTTTCCCACTAAATCAAAAAATAATAAAAATAAATCACTGGACAAACTAAAAAAATAAATAAATAAAAAAAAATTAAAATATTTACCAAGTTCTCCACAAAAAGGAAAAACAAACAAACACATTGACCAAAACAAAACAGTTTGCTGTCAAAACAAATGAAAAAAAAACCCGGAATAGTTTACTCTGTAACATAAAAGCTGATGCTGTGGAAAAACATACATACACACAAACACACATAAACAAACACAAACACATGTAAACAACACATCCACGAGCATTGATGTGCGTTTACAAATATATACACACACACACACACACACACACACACAGCCTCTTACACAAACACGAAACACACCACATCATCCTTCAACAAACAATGACGCTACAATGATCTTATCAACACCCACACAACACACATAGAGAGTTCAACACACACAACAGGTCCATCGTCAGAGAAGCAATTTACTTCCCGTGGCCTTTGTTAGCGAGCACTGTGAGACTGCTCTTTGAGATCAGCTATCAGGTACAGTAAGATGGCCACAGGAAGTCATGCATTTTAAATCACCTCTGTGTGTGGGCGGGGGGGGTGGGGGAGGGTGATGGGTAGGGAGGTGGGTAGGGGGGGTGATGGGTAGGGAGGTGGGTAGGGGGGTGATGGGTAGGTGGGTGGGAGGGGGAGTTGGTAATGGTGGTGTGGGGAGATGAGGAGGTAGGGAAGGGATATTAATGGTTGTGGTAATGGTGGTAGTTGTATTATATTCGTGGTGCTGGTGGTAGTGGTGGTGCTAGTGGTGGTAGTGGTGGTAGTAGTAATGGTGGTAGTACTGGTGATGGTAGTAGTAGTGGTGGTAGTGGTGGTTGTGGTAGTAGGAGTGAACAGTTAGCCTTTAATAGGGAGTAAAATACAACAGTGAGTTCCTCCATTGGGTAAAACAGAACGAGGTGTTGTGGGTAAATATTTAGTAAGTCAATAATGGCGTCACTTGTTGTTCAGTTTGAGTTTAGTTCATAATTTTCTTGAGGTTAAAGACCCAGGTAACACTATTACTCCCTACACAGTGTCTATGTGTGTGTGTGTGTGTGTGTGTGTGTGTGTGTGTGTAATCACCCCCCCCCCCCTCGTTAAAACTACACCCACTCTTAATACATTACTACAATAGAAAAGCAATATACCAAATAGCTACATCACCAAATAATTAAATATCGTATTGGTAAAAAGTCAATATTAAATATAAAATAATTGAGAGATTGAATTCCTTGAAGCTCGAGGCAGAAGTCAATAAAAGAAGAAAAAACTCATCAAATTAAAATGAATCCGTCCGTCAGTTTGTCGAGTCTCAGTAAATTACGCCACAGCAAATACGACCAACCAAATCCTTCCAATAATGATTACAAAATTCAAACTTTCTTATGATTGGCTACAGTAACTGATTAAAAAAAAGGGGTCGTGTTCTGATAAGCAATATTCTTCCTGATGATTGGTGAACCCGCCGATCAGAACGAGAATTACAGCAGGTTCAAGTTGAAAATATATTGCCATTGGGTGATTTTCCCGTAAATTCTCAACATACGTCAGACTCAGATCTCATCGTGTGGTTTCCTTCTGGCTTAAATATTGTGGTTTTAGCTGAATTTAATGAGTTTAATGCGCATTTCTCTTACCTGATTCCTTTAGCTGAATTTACTTAACCTGAAGCTAAACTTTCTTGATTTTATTTTTAGCTGCATTTAATCACATCAATGGACCTCCTTAGTTGACCTGACTGATAGATTTTTTTTTTTTTTAGGATTATGAAGAACTATCAATTTTCACACACTGACTACTTAGCAATATTATCTCTCTCTCTCTGTCTTTCTGCCTCTGTGTCAGTCTTATCTGTCTACCTGTCTACCTGTCTCTCTCCCTCACCATCTGTCAGCATCCCGTACGCCTGTCTGTGTTGTTATCATCGTTATAGGGAGCCACTCACAGATCACCAATTGTTCCTGGGATAAAAAAAAAAAGTTATGGGGCGAATCAGCTGATCTGTCTCAGCTCACGACAAGTTGATTAGAGAAGTTGGCGACGCTTTTGTGTGGAGGCAAGACCTTTGGAGTAGCTTGGAGGGAGGAGTTTGAGGGAGTTACTGAGAGACGGAGAGTGTGTGGGAGTAGTGTGTGTGTGGGAGGAGTGCGTGGGAGCTACTGAGAGACGGGGGATGTGTGTGGGAGGAGAGTGTGTGGGAGTAGTGTGTGTGTGGGAGGAGTGCGTGTGGGAGCTACTGAGAGACGGGGGATGTGTGTGGTAGGAGAGTGAGGGAGAAATGTGTGAGAAGGGGAGTAAGGGAGAAAAATGAAGGAAACAGAGGGAGAATAAATAATGTGTTGAAGGAATTAGAAGGAATTTGAGGGAGATTAGCATAGATAAGGGAGCGAAAGGGAGAGGATTAGCTCCAGTACAAGACAAGTTGATTAACCAAGTTGACGACACTCTGTTGGTGGCAAGACTGTTGGGAGCCTTTATAGGGAGGAGTTTGAGGGAGTTTAAGGGAGTAGGAGGGAGTTTGAGGGAGTTTAAGAGAGTATAGAAGGAGTTTGACGGAGTTTAAGAGGAGTCTAGGGGAAAATACAATAATAAATCCCGTAAATAACTCCCTAAAATAATAAATCCCTTAAATATACAATAAATCCCTTAATATATTCCCTTAAATACGGTTGAAATAGGTGGTGGTGGTGGTGGTGGTGGTGGTGGTGGTGGTGGTGGTGGTGGTGGTGGTGGTGGTGGTGATGGTGGTGGTGGTGGTGGTGGTGATGGTGGTGGTGGTGTGGTGGTGGTGGTGGTGGTGGTGGTGGTGGTGGTTTCTGGCAGATTGAGGAAACTTGTGAAATGTGTTGGTCATAAAAATTCCAGAGCCGGGCGTTGACCTCTGTACCTCCATTCTCGTGACCTCTGAGCTTTAAATACTCTCGAGTACCATTGACAACCTCTCTATGTCTTACTTCGTGACCTCTGAACCTCCATCAATGACCCCTGAAGCTTAGCCTTAGAACCATCGCCTTTTGAACTTTCATTACAGACCTCTCACATTTGTCTGACCTTTTAATATTCATGACAGCAATCACTAACTCTTTTTATCTCATAACCTCTGACCTTAAAACCTCCGCATATGACCTCTGACCTTACAACCTCCGCATATGACCTCTGACCTTACAACCTCCGCATATGACCTCTGACCTTACAACCTCCGCATATGACCTCTGAACTCTCCCACCGTACCTCCAAGAGACATCTGATTCCCTCCCATATATGAAGATTTTAACCTAACCATTCCATCTCGTAAGAAAATTATGTAAATACAATGATAGTTATTATAATTCTGTGTGTGTGTTACTCTTTGTGTCTCAGTCATGTTGTGTGTCTCAGGTCGTGGTGGATGAAGAGATAATTGACGTCATTTGAATATTTCTCATTATATTGGGAGACGTGAGTCATGAGTCAATATTCATTCTTATTATATTAACAGAGAGAACGTTTATGACGAGAGGGGGGACTATATTACTCCCCTGTGCAAACAGACCCCACTCCTAATAGACCCCACCTCTAATAGACCCCACTCCTAATAGACCCCACCCCACTCCTAATAGACCCCACTCCTAATAGACCCCACCCCTAATAGACCCCACCCCACCCCTAATAGACCCCAATAGACCCCACTCCTAATAGACCCCACCCCTAATAGACCCCACCCCACCCCTAATAGACCCCACCTAATAGACCCCACCCTAATATACCCCACCCCTAATAGACCACACCCCTAATATACCCCACTCCTAATAGACCCGACTCCTAATAGACCCCACTCCTAATAGACCCCACCCCTAACAGACCCCACCTGTAATAGACCCCACCTCTAATAGACGTTTGTAAAAGTAAATATTGGTGTTAGAGTCGAAACTAATGAGTGAGTTATTTACCTGTGTTCACCCCCACGCCGCTACAGTCACTATATTGGGACCAAACACTCAACCTCTGATGCTCCCTCTCCTACACCACCTTTAATTAGCGGAACAAACGGCTCTCAAATTACCTTCTCTTTTTCTACTGAGGCCAACCCAAATTAAAATGATGGAGGGGGTGTGTGTGGTGTGGGTGATGGTGTGGTGGAGGAGTGTGGGGTTGGTGGAGGAGTGTGGGGTTGGTGGAGGGGTGGGTGTGGGGTGTGGGTTAGTCTGTTGCAACTATCCTCTTCCTGGTTCAATAACAAGTATGTTTCGGTTTATATTTATATACATATCAGGTTATAAGGCTAAGAGTTATGTGTACGTTTAAACAAAGATTAGAATTAATACATATATAAATTATTTCTTATGTTTGTTGAATGTTATTAGAGTCTGTACTGATATCTCTCGTTTGTCTTCAGGTTATGGTGAGGTGAGGTTCTCCAAACGTCGGCCAGATACCCAGCAGCAGCGTCCCCGGCCTGGTGCTGCCCTCACACGCAGGAGGGTGTTGGTGGGGCGGGGAGACACCTTCACCATGTCTCCCCACAAGAGCATAGAGACAAGGCCCTCCTGTTGCCCTCCGCCTGCGTCACCGTGATGAACGCTCCTCTGGGTGTGTTTACAAGTGGCAGGAGAGTGCGAGGGTGAGAACGAGGTTTATGAGAGTTGTAAAAACACGAGGAGTGAGACCTCAGAGGTTTACGAGCGACCTGAGAGTGGGGATGAGAGCATAAGAACCAAAGGCGAAGATGGTCGATCAGGCATGATCCACGACACGGGGAAGATGGCGCCAACACTACCCATCCAGTCCCTATGGTCTCCCCTCCACGCCCTTGACGTCGTGTGGGCGTGACGAGGGCGTGGATTACCACAAGAATGAGCCTGACTTGGGTGGTGTGGGCGGTGGTGGTGAGCGCTGTAGTGAGTGGCGGACAGCCTGATCAGGTGTTGAGTCGCCTGGTGACCGTCAAGTACGGCAAGATCCAGGGCTTCATCCGTCACCACGCCAGACATTCTCTCCCGCCCGTGGAGGTCTTCCTCGGGGTGCCGTATGCCTCTCCGCCCCTGGGCGATGGTCGCTTTACGCCCACCAGCAGCCCGCTGCCCTGGGAGGGCGTGCGAAAATGTACTGAGGTGCCGCCCTCATGTCCACAGGTGTTGGCCGACACCAACGGCGAAGAAATACCTCCTGCCCGTGCGGCCCAGCTGGCCTCCTTCAGGTCCCTCCTGCAGCACCAGAGTGAAGACTGCCTATACCTCAACATCTACAGCCCCCATGACGGTCAGTCCTTCTACAGTACTGCTCCATCTTTATTTACTTCCATCATATACATGTACAGTATGTGTTCACCAGCCATCCTCTACCGTATACATGCGGTGTAAAGACAGTGTCTGAGTGTTTGTTTGTTTGTTCACTATGAACGGCTACAGCGGACAGAGGTTAGGTAGAGTAATAAATGTAGTGCACCTGATAGTGTAGACACTGGCCTCAGCTGCCCCTCACCTATAAACCCGGGCAGCAGCGGACACCCCACTTACTTCTAGCTATATATTGTCATGCTGTGCGGTACTGTGTCTTCTCTTTGTTCATTATAGTAGAGTGAGTCAACAGGTTATGGAAGTGTTCCCTCACGACTTATATCCCTTACATCAAACTTGCTGTACCTGTTTAACAAAGCCTGATAATGTAGAACGTGTTTTATACACTGTTGGGTGTGTGAAGGAATCAGTGGTATATTAGCTGATAAGAATGTTACCCACAATGCTCAAGATACAGCAGCAGCAGCAGCAGCAGCAGCAGCAGCAGCAGCAGCAGCAGCAGCAGCACGAGCACTTCATGGAAGAAACACCGCAGCCGCTGTACTCAGGCAGCTGATGATGTCGCCGGTGAAGTCACACGAGCATCAGCATCCAATCCCATCTTGGTTGTCGACTTGTGTGGGAAACCATTCCCGGCAGCAGACAACAGTTCCCCGCGTTAGAGTTTAGAGCGCTGGTGGGATCAATGGTGCCCGAGACTTGGTGTAGTCACCAGCCGAGATGATAGTCACGACACCGCTGTGAGTCTCAGCAACATCACATCCTTAAGCGGAGAAGCGGGGCCTCCCGACGCAGGAACATAACGTCTGGAAGTTACGCGAAGAAGCAGCATGTTAAGTGCACCACTACCACGTTCTCGAATCAATTTGTGCCTCCGACTCGTGTTAACCTCTCACAGATCTGCTTCAGGCACCTGGCATTATTACCAGAGTGAAGGGTTAAAGGCCATTGTGCCTAGTACAGCGGCAACTTATGAGATTCTTAAAAATAGTGGTCGATTGTGTGAGGGTAGACCGAGGCCGTAGATCGTGGCCTAACAAACGGACCTTTTCTGGGGAGCTGCAGACGGGTGGTGTGAGGAGCTGCCACCGGCCTTACCTCACCCTGGCCTTGAGGAGCTGCCACCGGCCTTACCTCACCCTGGCCTTACCTCACCCTGGCCTTGAGGAGCTGCCACCGGCCTTACCTCACCCTGGCCTTTCACCCTGGCCTTACCTCACCCTGGCCTTACCCTGGCCTTACCTCACCCTGGCCTTTCTTCACCCTGGCCTCATGACACAGTCTACCTCACGGCCACCCTTAACGATCATACTGACGCAGACTTACAGACCTGCTTAAGTAAACACCAACAATAATTAATGGTCAATATAACTGATCAAATAAAATATACATCAACATCACCACCAACATCACCATCAACATCACCACCAACATCACCACCAACATCACTACACCTTAAGCTCGCTGTATTAAAATTGCTTTGAAGTATGGCCTTGATAACATGAATTAGTGCCGTTGCTGCAGGGAAAAATATTATTAAATTTATATGAAAAAAAACTCCCATAATTCATTTTTTATTTAAACAGTAAAAAAAAAACGTCGTATTTTTGGGGTATTATTTGGATAATGAATTTATCACCCCAGAAAAATTATAATAATTTAATCGTATAATTTTCATGGCGATTTTTTTTTCTCTGAACAAAAGTTTATTTACGGGTTATATTATCGTCCAGAAGTGTGTGTGTGTGTAAAATGATTAGGTGTGTCCTCGTCAGCGTGTCAGAGGAAGTTTTCCGTGTAAACTCGATGTAAATGAAGCAATAATTTGATGGTGTATATCCCAGAGAGAGAGAGAGAGAGAGAGAGAGAGAGAGAGACCCCAGTCATTAATATGCCATTATGCAAATTAAGTGAAACAAAAAAAATGCTCTTCCCGGGCCGTCTTTTCTTACCCCCACCTCCCCCTCCCCCATTCTCCCTCTCCTCCCCCCCCCTCTCTCTCACATCAGCCGCACGTCAACACATCAACGTATTCACCCTCAAGACGCGCCGCTTACCACCTCCCTCCCTGCCACAATCTATGATACATATTTCAAAACTTTCTCAAATATCACGACCATTTCCTCTCGTCCATCACCTAGGAGGAGGGAATATGCTCTTTTTTTCTTTCTTTCTTTCTTTCTTTCTTTCTTTTTACCTTTTTTCTTCTTTTTTCAACTGTATGTCTGTCTGTCTGTCTGTCTGTCTGTCTGTCTATCTGTCTCTCTCTCTCTCTCTCTCTCTCTCTCTCTCTCTCTCTTCAATTAAAAAATTCTGTGAATGCTTAATAAATTCTCTTTATTTTCTCTCTGAAGGTTTGACAAAGTAATACATTTTATTTCCTTTGTTGATATAAAATGGTTTGAGGTCGATAATAACCGCATAACGAAATTATATAGTAACCGAACTGTTGCTTTTGTTGTTGTGTGATACGATGTCCAGGGGCGTGAGTTTGCTCCTTTTTTTTTCATAGGATGGATAAAGATAAAGGAGAGATTGTTATTTTTCTCATAGGATGGATAAGGAGTGGGTTTTTTTTTATAGGATGGATAAAGATAGAGATGAAGATTGTTTTGTTTTTATAGGATGGATAAGGGGTGTTTTTTTCATAGGATGGATAAAAATAATATGGAAAGTGTTGTTTTTTTCATAGGATGGATAAAGCCAAATAAGATAATGCTTTTTTCATAGGATGGACAAAGCCACCACCACTACCATTACTCCTAACAGAACCACAACTACCAGACTACTACCACCACTAACAGCTATTATCATCCTAATTCCAATGGTACTTAATTCTAATAGTTATGTTAAATTAGGTTAAAGTTGACGCCATTAACACTGAGACTAATTTCACCTTCAACTTCTCTGGAACATTAGAGACTCGTCCATCACGTGGGGAAAAAATCCCTCAACAATATATCAAGGGAGTTAATTTGTGTGTGTGTGTGTGTGTGTGTGTGTGTGTGTGTGTGTGTGTGTGTGTGTGTGTGTGTGTGTGTGTGTGTGTGTGTATGTAAGTAAGGCCAAGGAGCTCTTAACGCCCCTATGATAATAATTATCTCACCTATAATTTGTAATTATAGAGAATATCCAGTAATTGATCACAACTATCACCATTATTATCACCACCATCACACCACCACCACCACCACCATCATCATCACCACCACCACCACCATCATCACCACCACCACCACACACGAACTACGAACCTAAACCTTTTGATTTTGTTTGGGAGGAGAGAGAGAGAGAGAGAGAGAGAGAGAGAGAGAGAGAGAGAGAGAGAGAGAGCTTGATAATACCCCATCATCTCGTGGGGTGAACAAGAACCTTCCCTCGGGTCAAACTAATCACTGTTTTGCGGCGGAAGAAAAAATGGATCAGTGTGGGAGAGAGATTGTACCGAGTCTGGGAGTCAATATCCTCTACTCTCTCTGTGTCTCTCACTGTCTCTCACTCATACGTCTTTCACTGTCTCTCTCTCTCTCGCTCCTTCGTTTCTCACTCTCCTTGATTCTGGTCTCTATATCTCTCACTGTCTTTCTCATTATCCTCTGTTTCTCTCACTCTTATCTGTATTTATCTTATTCTAATGTATGTATGTTTATGTCTCTCTCTCCCTCTTCTCTTTCTGCCCCATCTCTCTTATTTTTCTCCCTCTCCCTGTTCCTAATCTTTTCTCCCCTCTCTTTTTTCTCTCTATGTTCACTGTTTCCTGTCCCTTATTTACCCTCACTCTATATCTCTCTCCCTTCCTAATGTTTCTCTCCTCTCTCTCTCTCTCTCTCTCCCCTCTCCCTCATCTACAATGTTTAATACACATATACATTAATACAAACACACATACACACTCATATTACAGTATTCCCCGTCAAAGAGTCGAACCATTGTACCCTGCGACACACACACACACCAGTCAGTGAACCTAACCGCTCCACCACCACCTGTGCAAGTAATACTAAAGTGAATATCGCCTCAGTTTGGTCTTGTAAACTTCCGTGATATTATTAGACGCATTAACTCAGGTGATTTTTTTTTTTTACTTCTTGACTGTTATTTTTTTACCCAAATTATCGAAGAGTTTTATTCTATATTGTCGTGATTTATGGATACTACTACTACTACTACTACTACTACTACTACTACGGGCGGGAGGACGGTACGTAAGGTACGGGCAGGAGGACGGTATACAGGTGGGGAGGACAAGGGTGGGAGGACGGTACGGCAGGGAGGACGGTGCAGGTGGGGAGGACAGTACGGGCAGGGAGGACAGTACAGGCATGACAGGCGGTTGGGCAGGGAGGACGGTATGGGTGGGGAGGACGGGGCGGGGAGGACGGTACGGGCGGGGAGGACGGTACGGGCGGGGAGGACGGTACGGGCGGGGAGGACGGTACGGGCCACGAACGGTACCTGCTATGCCTCAAATACTCGACGGGACAGAAAGCCTCTGTTATAGGTCAAATAAAGGTCATCAGGTAGGTCACAGTGCCCTCGTGCTAATTGAGTGACCTTTACCTGGTTCCTGGTATATGAGGGAGTGAAAAATATGCGTGTGTGTGTGTGTAGAGGAGTGAGGGGGGGGGGAGATGTGGCGGTGGGTTCCCTGGAGAGCTGTCGAGACAACTCCAATTTGGTGGAAGGTTTTAATGATGGCGGCCCCGTAGGCATTATTCTCACGTTATTCACTGTAATGTATTGACTTAGTACGTTATGCTCTATCTGTTCGGTGTAGGGTGGGGCGAGTTCAGCGTCTATAGGGAGTGAGGTTAAGTTCCCCTTCCGTAGTTATTGTTGTCACTTCCGCGTCAGGAGAGCCACGAGGTCCTAGTGACTGTGTGGTAAAGGGATGATGCTCACTCAGGTTAATTAATTATAAAGATTTTGTTTATCTTCTATGGTAGCATGAAGGGGTGTGTG